CGGCCTCGGTCCGTCTACCAGTACTACCCCAAGGTGAGCGCCGGGCGGCCCACACTGACTGGCTGGGCAGGGGAGGGGCCAGGGCATGTTGGCCACAGGTGCCCGACGAGCCTGGATTCCTCCCACTTTGGCCGCCCGCCTGGAGCTCAGTCCTCAGTCCCTTCCTGGCTTGCAGCAGCCAATGGCGGTTGGGGGGCTTGGATGGATTTGGGGAGCTGGTGACCATGGGCAGAACCACCTCCGGTGCGGGCCGGTGCTTTCCAAGTGCACACGCCCCCTGGGTGGGCTCTGGGGGCTCTCCCAGCCCCCCACTGCCTCAGCGGTGAACTTGTGGCACGTTCCCTAGGGAATGACACAAGCTGTAGGGCAGGCCCCAGTGAACCTCCCAGGGCGCAGAGACGCAGCGCAAGCCCCGGCCAGGCTGGTTCTGAGAGGGAGGCCGACCTGCCCGCGGCTGTTCCCCGTCTGAGCTCTCTGCAGCGAGGGGTGAGGAATCCAACCGGGGCAGGTCCTCGTCATGATCCCCAGCAAAGGTCCTGCCCCACCCCTGCTGCTGTGCCTTGCAGTGACCCCGGGGGCTAGTGGTTAGAGCAGCAGGGACGCTGCGCTGTGCTCACAGCTCCGGGAAGGGGTGCAGCCGGCAGACTGGGGAACTCTGGATCTATTTGCAGCTCAGGGGGTAAGCTCAGGGGGTAGGCAGGGCGGTGTGTCCTTAGAGCCAGGACTGCTGGGTTCTGCCCCCGCGCTGTGCGTGCCCCCCGGCGCGTCTCGGTGCCTCTCTGGCCAGATCTGCCTCCCCTGGGTGCAGTAAGGCCCCAGCCAGGAGTCCGAGCCGCCTGCTGCTCTGGGCCACGATCGAGGTTGCCATCATTGGCTCCGACATGCAGGAGGTGATCGGGACGGCCATCGCTTTCAGCCTCCTCTCGGCCGGACGGTAACAAGTCCCCGCAACCTTTCCCACGGACGGGGACGGGGGCAGCTGGGCCTAGAACTCCGGGCACCTGCCACCCCCAGCACGGGCCTGCTCCCTGAGCTACAAGAGGGCTCCCTCGGCTTGCGGGAGTAGCGAGTCCATTATCCTTTCTCTGGGTGACATCACAGGCACACAGCAAGCCAGCATATGGCTTTACCTGCTTCCCTCCCTGCCATGGGCCACCGGTAACACAGGCAAGGGGACGCACCGCCTTCCCAAAACTGCCTACACGCCCCAGCCTCTGGGGAGGCTGGGGCCATGGCACATCAGTCCCGGCCCTCCAATTGGCCAGGAAGGACCGGGCGGCGAGTGGGCGGGTCTTGGCTCCAGGGGCGGGGCTGCAGGAAGAAGGGTGGGGCAGGGATGGGGCCTGCCTTTCCCAACTGGGCCTTCACCCATGGCCCATGTTCCCCTCCATGCCTGCCCTGGGAGGCACCAGCCCTCGGCTCCTGAGCTGGCCTGGGGTTTTTAGGGTAGGATTAGGAGTGGGACCCAGAGAGATTTTAGTCGCTGTCAAACCAGGCTGCGTTCAGAGCAAGCCCCCTTCTGAGCTGCCTTGCCAAAGTCCAGAGCTATCTGGGCCGCATTGCTGGCCGTGGTGGAGTCAGAACTGGATCCGCGCTGGTTGTAACAGGCTCAAATTCAGGAACACCCGGTGCTCTGCATTGCACAGGAAGTCTGTCAAGGCTTCTTCCCCACTCTGGCATGATGAATGCAGAAGTGGGGGCCCGCAAAAGTACCCCAGAACCTTCTCTTTCCAAGCTTTGGTATAAAACTTCCCCCCAAAATCTTAAAAACCTCGATTTGGGGGATAAAAATCCACTGCCACCATCCAAGTAATGGTAAGAAAACCAGGGAAGAGATCACTGGGGAAATCTCAGCCCTAAAGTAAAACCAGGACACAAAAAAATTAACCAATCCCAGGTTCATAAAAAAAAGAGAAAGAACTTTTAGTGTCACCACAATACTCCTGTTACAAGCATAATGACTAGATGGAAAAGTCACCAATTAATATACTCATGGGGGACCCCTATGGGCCAAAAGCTTAGTTACAAAGGAGAGGAAAACCCATTTTGAAATGCACAGACCTCAGATTCCCATTCCCAAACCATAAAACAATAAAACCTAACGGATGTGTCTCAGCTTTGCCCTACTTACAGATAGTGAAGAGTCTTTTCTTAGAGAGAGACAAGACATGTCTGACTCCCTCAGTATCTGCAGAGAAACTGCCCAGAGACAAAGGAGGGAAAACCCCAAAATTCCTTTGTCCCAGTTTGAAATTCCTACCTATTTTTCTATTGGCTGCCTGCTACCTGGTTAGGTAAGGGACATAGTTAACCTCTTATTCCCCAGGCTGCTGGCCATCCCTCATGGTCACGACAAGGTCAGACTGACAAGGTCTGGCCTGATTTGCTGGGACTCTCCTGCCTCTGCAACCTGCTCTTAAACCAGAGCTTCGGGGCTTGGGTTCGCTCACACCCTGCAGACAGTCACACTGACACGAGGCAGCGTCTTCCTCTAGCGGTGGCTCGGCGCTCCTCGTCCAGCGCCAGGGGTCAGGAATGAACCTCCCGTCGCCTGCATCACAGCAATGACCCCTGTGATTTCCCCCCACAGCATCCCCCTGTGGGGCGGAGTCCTCATCACCATTGTGGACACCCTCTTCTTCCTCTTCCTGGATAAATACGGTACGTCGGGGTGGCCAGGGCTGGGGCGGGGGGCTCCAGGTGCTGTGTGTGCTGCTAGAGAGAGGGGCGTAGGTTGGGCAGCTGCGGAGCACAGGCTGGTCAGTTTCATGCTTTGTTTCTGGTCAGTTTCGTGCTCCCCTTCCAGGGCAGGTCTGCCTCATCCCTAGGCTACCAGTCTGCCCTGCTTGCAGCTCTGTAGCTCAGCCCTGGCTGTCCAGGGGCTTCTTAAAAATCAGCTCAAAGCTTAACAATATACCCCACTCCTGGCCCTGCTGCCTGCGGGGGGCTTCGTCTCCCCCCACACATCAATCAGCCAGGACCCAAGACAGAGGGGTGGAAAGGAGACATGGGCGAGAGCTGCACAGTGGGGGCTGCCATCAGGGAGGGAGCAGCAGAGAGGTGGGTTTGATACAGGGGGGGCCCAGGTTGGGAAGGGGAACTGCAGCTCCACACGGACTGCGTGGGCAGGCTGGAGGGAGGCCACTCGAGGAGTTCCTCCTGGCTCTCTTGGGACGGGTTTGATTTTAATGTAATGACCTTGGTGCAGAAAGTGGGAGGGGCCAGTCAGATCCGCGGTGCTGCCAATGTGAAGAAGCACCAGCATGTCGGCCAGCAATAGACATTAGATGACATTGAATAGCGCCAAGTGCCCGGCTCTGCATTTAGGGGCTAACAACCGGACATTTCACGATAAGCTGGGGACGTATCCGTTGGGAGTAACAGAGGAGGAGAAAGACCTGGGCCTGTGTCTAGACTGGCCAGTTTTTCCGGAGAATCAGCCGCTTTTCCGGAAAAACTTGCCAGCTGCCTACACTGGCCGCTTGAATTTCCGCAAAAGCACTGACTTCCTACTGTCTGAAATCAGTGCTTTTTGCGGAAACACTATGCTGTTCCCGTGCGGGCAAAAGTCCTTTTGCGTAAAACTTTTGCGCAAAAGGGCCAGTGGAGACAGATCAGATTTGTTTTCCGCAAAAAAGCCCCGATGGCAAAAAAGGCAATTGGGGCTTTTTTACGCAAAAGCGCGTCTAGATTGGCACGGATGCTTTTCCGCAAAAAGTGCTTTTGTCGAAAAGCGTCCGTGCCAATCTAGAAGCGCTTTCCGAAAATGCTTTTAACGGAAAACTTTTCCGTTAAAAGCATTTCCGGGAAATCATGCCAGTCTAGACGTAGCCTGGGTGAATTGGGTAATCACAGGACGACTAGGAGCTGCCAACGGGCTACCGCCAGGAAAAAAGGCTCATGCAGTCCTAGGCTGCATCAGGCGTGGCTTTTCCAGGAGAGCCGACGCAGCGTTATTACCGGGGCTGTCAATTAATCGCCGTGAACTCACGTGATGACCTCCAACCAACGAATCGCGGTGTAGAAAACGGATGGCGATGAGTCGCGGGGTTAATCACACCGCTGAACCGAAGAACACCACCTGCAATTTTGCATTTCCAGAGAGATGGATTTCAATGGCAGCACAGAGGACGTTAAAAAGCACCTGTACAAATGGTAACAAAGCCCAGTATTTTTCTGTTCATCTCACGCCAGCGCGGGGCAGCAAGCCCTGTCTCCGGAAAGTGCAATTTGCAAATGTCCATTTTTTTTTTTTTTGGTTACACGACCGCACTTGAAACCCAAACAGCGTTCCAAGTGTGGAACCGAACCGTTCATTCAGTCCTCTTCCTCCTCCTGCCAGCCACGGTTGTTTCCAGGTGCGGGAGATGCTGCTGCCTGCTGGAAGTCAGCGCGGGTAATGGCACGTTCCTGGCTGCCGGCACGGCAAGGTGTCGATGTGCCAGATGTGCTAAAGATTCGTGTGCCCTTCGCGCGTCAGCCAGCATCCCAGAGGCCATGCTCCCATGCTGATCAGGCCTGCGACGGGGGGAGGGGAACTGTTCCGGAGCCGGTGACTGGAAAGGGCCCACGGCTCCCTATAGACGCTGCTGTGCAGCAGCCAGAACCCTGGGTCCTGTCATCGCTGCCGGAGCCCAGGGTGGCACGCTCCGGGGGGCATTAAGGGCTGAGTGGGGTGACAGGGAGCTCCCCGGGCAGTACTGAGGGCTGGCTGCTCCTAGCCCCGCCCCTTTCCCTGGAGGCCCCACCCCTCCCAGGGGCATAGAGCCACGCCCTCCCCCTTTACCCAGGGGTCCAGCAATTCTGGGGGCTCTCGGATGCTCTTTAAAAAAATGTGCTTATTACATTTGTGGCTGAGCTCCTCGTCCACCTCCTGCGGTTTCACCCGCGTTCTGCCGTGCCAGAGACGGGGACCGTACAGCCCGTTGTGGCCGGGACAATCCCTGTCCTAAGCCCTGTCCTGGCCGCTCTGGCTATTTTGGCAACATTGGGGATTTGTCCCCCTGGCTCTTGGCAACTGATTGTCTGTTAACAAGAGCAAAGGGGACAAACGTGCAGTTTTGCCTAAAATTGGGGTGTGACCCCTCGCAGGGCAGAAAGGAACGTACGGGGAGGGGACGGGGGGGCCAAGCAGCAATGCCAGACTGGGGGAGGGCTTGAGAGAGAGGCTCTGGCTGGGCTTGCCCTGCACGGAGGGGGAGGGCAGCAGGGGCCCTGGGTCGGCCCCATATACAAGGAGTAGAGGGGGCTTTGGGCCAGCTCCATGGGGTGGGTGGCAGGGGGGACTAGGGCCCGTCCCAGACACGAGGAGGAGACAGTGTAGAGTCCCATTTAAAATATGCCTCAGGCGACAAATGGGAAAATACGGTCACCCCCGGCCCCGCCCCCGTTCGATGTAAGAACCTTTTCGCTGCACATTTGACCAACACGAAGTCAGTACCGATGTGAGAGCGCCCGGCTCTCGATGCAAGGGGTGGGAATCTGAAGGGCTCTCCAAAATCGGGGCGGGGCCTGGAGCCGCTTTCAGGCGTCTTAAAAGAGTAACATTCTGATGTGGAAGCTACAGAACCCGGACCACCAAAAAAACCTCAGCCTTCTGCCTCAGACGATGGAAATGACGGTGCCTTGGTCGGCTCGGCTCTGGATCATTATCAAGCAAACCCATCCTCAGCATGGACACCTGTCCTCTGCAATCGTGGCTGACGCAGGAAGAGACAGAGGAACCCTTACCACAGTGGTCGTGTAAATAAATATCTTACGATGCCGGCTACAACTGTGCCATGCGAACGCCTGTTCTCATTTTCAAGGGCCTTTGTAAACATGAAGCAGGCAGCAACATCTCCCATAAATGCAAACAAAACGTGTTGTCTGAGCGATTGGCTGAACAAGAAGTAGGACTGAGTGGACTTGTAGGCGCTGACGTTTTACATTGTTTTAGCTTTGAGTGCAGGTTTTTGGTACGTAATTCTACATTTGTTCAAGTGTCACGCTAAAGAAACAGCACTGCAGTACTGGTATTAGATGAATTGAAAAATACTATTTAGTTTGTTTCTTTTTCATGGTGCCAATATTGATAATCAAAGTTGTGTCTAAACTACACCTTTCTGCCGACAGAGGGATGGAGATTAGGCACATCACTATTGCAAATGAAGCAGGGATTTAAATATCCCGTGCTTCATTTGAATAGAAATGGCTGACGCTTTTTTCCAGCTCGGAGCTTTGCCGGAGTAAAGCGCCAGTCTAGACGCGGATCTTTCGGAAAAGGCTTTATTTTCCGAAAGATCCGCAACTAGACCGGCGCTTTTTTCCGGTAAAGCCCCGAGCCGGAAAAAAGTGGCAGCCATTTTTATGCTAATGAAGCGGGGATTTAAATCTCCCCCGCTTCATTAGCAATTGTGATACATCTAATTTGCATCCCTTTTCCGGAAAAGAGATGCAGTCTAGACACAGCCCCCAAGAGGATAATGAGCGCTGGACCCTTTGTATTCGGGGTTGCAACTGAAATCAGCCTATTTGGAAATGTAGCAGACCAACCCCAACGTGTCAATAAATGGTGTTCTCGTCCCGTGTCACCGTGCGATTCATCGCGATTCATGGTTTTAAATAATGTGGCAGCCCCAGTTGTTGCCTTTGCACCGGGCGTGTGCTGTTCTGGGTTCCCGTGTGTAAGAAAGAGGCATTGGCACAGGAGCAGGTGCAGAGGAGGGCGAGATCGATGATCGAAGGGATGGAAGCGCTTGGCTGGCCTGGCCTAAACAAAGGCCGGGAGAGGTGATCGCTGCCTGTCACACACTGGAGGGATAAAGCCCAGTCCAGGGGGTGGGTGGTTATACCGGGTACAGGCCAGCGTGGACGCCAGAACAAAAGGCCAGAACCTGGCAATCCTGGGAGCAGGTGCAGAGGAGGGCGAGATCGATGATCGAAGGGATGGAAGCGCTTGGCTGGCCTGGCCTAAACAAAGGCCGGGAGAGGTGATCGCTGCCTGTCACACACTGGAGGGATAAAGCCCAGTCCAGGGGGTGGGTGGTTATACCGGGTACAGGCCAGCGTGGACGCCAGAACAAAAGGCCAGAACCTGGCAATCCTGAAGGTTAG